CAGTCTGTAAGCTACATTGAAACCTGTGTACTATGTGCAACCCTGCTGGCATTTGAAACACTGGTGGCACAGTGTCAAGCCTCACAGCAACACACCACCACAGTACAACAAACTGACAGACAAGTTTGTCTGCCTTAGCTGTTTGAAACCTCTCTGCCCTCCCCTTACCTGTATCCTGTGGCTGCTGGTCAGTCAGTTGTCACCCTGTTTTTCTCCTCACCCCACTTTCCAGTCTCTTGGGGGTGAGGCCTGTGTTCCTCCCCTTACCTGGATCCTGCTGCTGCTGGTCAGTCAGTCATCCCCCACCTTTACTTTCCCCCACTTTCCCATATATCTGATAAGGATATTTTATCCAGAATATATAAAGAACATTTACAACTGAGCAACAGTTTATATTCAGAATATATAAAGAATTCATACAACTGAGTAATAAAAAGATGACCCAATTTTAAAGTGGGGAAAGGATCTAAATAGACATTTCTCGAAGAAGATATACAAATGGTGAATAAGCACATGAAAAGATACTCAACATCACTAATTGTCAGGGAAATGCAAATTAAAGCCACAATGGTGAAACTTTACACCATCTAGAATGGCTAGAATCAGAAAGTCAGATAATAGCAAGTGTTGGTGAGGGTATGGAGAAATCAGAATCCTCATATCCCATTGGTGGGGATGAAAAATGGTGAAGCCATGTAGAACACAGTCTGATAATTCTTCAAACAATTAAACATAGAGTTAACCTATGACTTTGGCATAAATCCAAGAGAAATATAAAACATATGTCCACAGAAGAACTTGCACATGAATGCTTATGGCAGCATTATTAAGAATAGTCAAAAAGTCATAGGAAGTACAGACAACGAAGATCAATCCTTTACATACACAATACTGCATTATCAGTGATCACAAACATTAATCTACAGGTGGATCCGTAGGTAGACAGGCTAAATGATCAGGTGTGTCCAGGCAAAAGGGAATACACCCATGACTGAATATAAGTCTGTTGTTGTTGTTATGTACTGTTGAGTCAAACCTGACTCATAGTGACCCCTCCTTGGATTTCTGAGGCAGTACCATTATGGAAGGAGATTGCTCAACCTTCCTTCTGAGGAGTGGCTGGTGGGTTTGAACCACCAGCCTTCTGGTTAGCAGTCAAGTGCCTTAGGCACTATGTTACCAGAGCTCCTGTGTATAAGTGTGACAGATGATATTTCTACATATTTGTATGTGCTATATAACAATGTCCATGTAATTAGAAATAACAGGAGGCAAAGTTATGACAACTTCTTAGCCTTAGCCAACCATCCTGAGCAAGCGAGTTATTAGGCCGTGGGCTTGGGAACACAGTCGCAGGGGACATCAGGCTCAATTGGCATAATATACTATACAAAAACATTGTTCTACATGCTACTTTGATGAGTAGTGATTGGGGTCTTAAAAGCTTGCAAGTGGACATCTAGAAGCAACAATTGGTCTCTCCTCATCCAGAGCAAAAAAGAATGAAGAAAACCAAAAATGACACATGGAAACAATTAGTTCAAGGAATTAGTGGACCATGTGAACCTCAGCCTACATGACCCTGAGACCAGCTACCAATGCCAACCACTTAGAAAGGGATCAGTGAAGGAGATCCTGGATAGAGTGGGGGAAAGAAACATGGAATCATCATGAAAATAAAAAAGGCCAGGCTCACTGGTCTAATAGACACTGGTGAAACTCCTGGCCTCTAGTCATCCTCTGGGCCTAGAATTGAACTTCCAGTTAACAACAGACAGGCATATAAAATGAACATTTATGCCAGGTAGGTACATTCCTTAGAACAACCAATCATGGAAGATCAGAAGGGTGGTATTTGCATAGGGAGACAGCTCAGGAGGCAGGAATGCACAGGAAAGAAGGACACAGATAAAAGGTAACCATAGGGAGGAAGTGGGAAGAGAGCTGTTACATTATGGAGATTGCAATGTCATGAAACAAAACATATATGAACTGCTGTGTGGAAAATGAATTTGCTCTGTAAACTGTCACCCAAATCACAATGAAAGAAAAAGAAAAAGAGTAGTCAAAAGGTTTTAACCACCTAAATGTCCATCAACAGAAGAATGGTTAAACAAAACATGGATTGTACAGATGATGGAATATTATTCGGCCATATAAAAGAATGAAGTACTGATACATGCTACTACATGGGTGGACCTTGAAAACACTATGCTAAGTAAAAGAAACCACAAAATATGACATAGGATATAATACCACTGTAGTGAAAGTCCAGAAGAGGGACACCTAGGCAGAAACAGAATGAGTCCTTGACAGGAGCTAGAGGAAGGGGAAATGGGGAGTGACTGCTAATGCATATGGCGATCTTGTAGGGGTGATGAAAATGTTCTAGAGTTAAGTAGTGGTGGTGGTTGCAACAGCATAATGAATTCATTAAGTCACTGAATTGCATACTTTGATTAAAATGCAGAATTTAGTCACATATTTTAGTCACAGTACATATTTAAATCATATAAACTATCAATGAAATAAATTATATTAAAACAAAGTCAAGGATTAATTGAAACGTCTCACTATGTAATTGTTTTACTTTATTTTATTGTTATCTGTGTATGCACAAAGGGCATGAGGTCTGCATCTTCTGATCTCCTCTGAGTTCACAAGAGGGAGACCAAGTCACCATCAACAACTCAAGGCTGATTTCTAAAAGGCCAAACATGCTGCCATCCTCCAAACCTTTTTACAAATTCTGACACCAGCTGCCCTCCCACGGCACTCACTATTTCTCTCCTGGGTTTGATTATTTGTTGCAATGGCTACACAGAACTCACAGACAATACCCACGATTTTGGGGTTTATTAGGGAAGCAACAGGCTACAACTCAGGTTCAGGAATGCACTCAGGATACAGTTCGTCAGGACAGTCTCCCCTTTGCTGTGTCCTCAGGCACGCCTCTCTGGCCCCTGGCCTCTCTGGCCCCTGGCCTCTCTGCCCTACTCGGGCAAAGGTTACAAAGCTCTTTTAGCTCTGCCGATAGATACACCTATGTGCACCCCACTTGGCCAGCAAGCCTCCTGCCCAAGGGCACCCAGCTCTCTCGCTCTGTATTCTGCTGCTCTCTCTCTTGCCTCTTGGTTCCTCTGCCTGTCTTCTGCCAAGGAGGTCCAGTGCAGGGATCTCGGGTCCAAGGATGTGCCCCACTTCACCTCTGGCTCTTCTCTTTCGATGGCAGTGAGATCCCCCTCTGTCTCTAGGAAGGCTCATTGTAAGCCTAGCAGAGTGACAAAACTAACCAATCCCCACACTAGAGTTCCATACACCTTATTTACATGGTCCTACCCCATAATCTGATGAGAGTCACAAAGACCATGGCTAGAAAAGCCATACCAAATAAATTAACTGCACTTCAGGTGATTTATTTCTGTTTTATGATCCATATGGTTGAGAACTACAGAATGGTGAGCTACTGCCCATCTCTTTCCAACTCCAGGTTGGAGGATGTCATGTTAGCTTGAAATGGGCCCTGGTGGGATATTACCCTGAAGTCAGCAAATGCAATGCATCAGGACTTCATATCTGCCAGCCTACACTACCTGCAGTATCTGTCCCTGCCCTTCACTGACCACATCCATGAAGGAGAGACCAGGGACCAGTTCTGTCACTTGACACCCTGCTCTAGACACATCTGCCCCAATGGGGATCCCAACATCCCAGAGACCATTTGTCAGGAACTCTCTGACCCAGAGTGGTCTAGGAGGAGCAGAGAAGTCACATGAAGTCTCACTTCAACAGTGAGAATTTAACACAGGACGTGGTTAAACGGCTCAGATCAGTAATACAAATGGGATGCATTGAGGTGCTGATTGGAGCTGCAGAGAGCAGCTGGCATTCCTGAGAGGGCTACCAGGAGGAGTCAGATGTGGGGACATCCTGGGAGTCTCGGAGATGCCCTGGGCCAGAGCCCCAAGCCTCAGGGGGTATAGGTGCCTCTGAGGGGCACCTGTGCCCCCAGGTGAAGGGTGATAGGTCCACACAGAACATATATACCACACAACCCCTATACAGGTAAGGACTCAGACAGCAGGGGAACAACCTGACCCTGTGAATAGCCAGGTGCTGTGGACTCGGCTCTGTGCTGACCCACCCTCCCCCAGAAAAGGGGGCACAAGCCCTCTGGCCACAAAGAACCCCTACTGCACACTTGTATCAATGATGAGGGGCAAAAAGGGAGGGAAGGTGGGGGTGCATCATGAGGCCAAGTGCTCCCCTGGTGCATTTCTGCTACTCAACATAGCTCCTCCTCTTGTCAGTGGGAGCTCTGTGCCCATTGCTGTGGGCCCTGCAAATGAGCCTGGGGCTGCTATGGGGAGGCCAACTTCGGTCCTGAGTCCCTGACCTACAGCCAGGAGCCTCTCAAAACATGTAGGGAACCTGAACCCACCCCTGGACTTTGATCCCAGGGAAGGGCAATGGGTTTAAGCAGAAGATAACTGAGCCAGGTGAGTGTGGGCTTGAGAGTCCCTCTGGAGGTCCACCTCCCTCTGGGGTTCCCCTCCCTCAGGGCACCTGGAATGTGGGGGCCTGGCAGGGACAGGATAGAGGGGAAGTGCACTAGGGTGAACTCCAGTCCCCTAAAAAGTCCCCAGGGCCCACTCATACCTTAAAGAGAGCAGAGGGGCAGCTGAGCAACTTCCTGACCTAACAGTCTTGTATCCCCCACAGCCCTCAGCCCCTCCTCTACCCAGACCTGGAGTCATTTGAGCCTCAGAAATGTGCTCTGCCTTCCTCAATGCCCAGCCAATTCATCAATTTATACAACACCAGGACAAAGATTTCTGAGAAATTGAAAGTGCCAGGGAAAGGGAGGGTCCACAGAGAATGCTTGTCTGCATCCAGACCTCATAACCAACTGGTCTCCTTGGCAGCAAGGCAGTAGGAAGCGCACTTCCCAAGCCTTCTCATACTCGCAGGCACTGCACTGGTTCCCCCAAACCCAGAAGATGGTCAAGGAGGAGCACAAAGCGGCTGTGCTGGGGGAGCCCCACAATACTGCACCCATGATGTCCACTGTGATCGACATCCAAAGGGAGACCTCAGTGCCGGACCACGTCGTCTGGTCCCTCTTCAACACACTCTTTCTGAACTGCTGCTGCCTGGGCTTCGCTGCTTTTGCCTACTCCGTGAAGGTGCGTGTGATGGCCCGTGGGAGATTCTCCACAAGGGTGTTAGTGTACACGCGGGGTGCCCTCCACTGAGACAGGCCTGGGGTGAGCAAGTCTATGTGCACTTGTGTGTGTGAGCATCACTATGTATGTGTGTGCATCTCTCTTGTATCTCACTCTCTCTTGTGTGTGTCTGTCTCTTGTGTGTTTCTGTGTGCATGTATGCCATGTGTGTGCACATGTGTATATGTATGGGATTGTGTGTGTCCCTTGTCTATGGGAGTGTGTGTCTGCCTCTCGGGGAGTCCATCCTAGCGTAGGGCCATGATGACACTGCAAGGGGTGCATGGGGATGGTAATGAGCAACCTTTACTCTCTTGGTCCCCAAGGAATTCTCCCTCCTTCACAGCCTAATAGAGCAATTCATCTCACCCTTGAGTCAGGCCAGGGTGGCTCAGAAAACATCAGCTGCTCGCACTCAGGACCTGAGGGTGCAGTGCTGGGACCACAGCAGAGGGAGGGGAACCTGAGGCTTCCTGGAGAGGCTTAAGGGCTGTGAGGAGGTCTTGGCCCCAGCAAGGAGGGGGCAGGAACTGTCCTGCTTGGGCTCCCTGATGTGGGTGTAGGCCAATGCAGGATGCACTGGGGACAGAGGACCAGGGAGGACCTGAGTGCCACCGTCAGCTCCTGGCTCCCAACAGGTCCCTCCCCTCATCATCTTGTCTCCCCCAGTCTAGGGACCGGAAGATGGTGGGCGACATGATTGGGGCTAAGAGCTATGCCTCCACCGCCAAGTGCCTGAACATCTGCGCCCTGGGCTTCAGCCTCCTTGGGATCATCGTGATCATCATCATTCTTGCCACCAGGCAATGACAACCTTCTAAGCCTTTCCTCAGCTGGCAAAGAACCATCAAGGCCACTAGTCACTGCACATTGCCTGGCCCGAGCCCTCCGGCCCCCCACTGGTGGCCCTGCATCCTGTTCTGTCCACCCCATGCGCACCCCATCTCCAGCAGTTTGCACACGCTTCTCCATCTATAAATGAATTCAGTGACGTGTCTCTGTCTGTAACAGTGCTGTGACATCACCTGGGGAGGGAGCCCTGCCTTCAGTCTCCAGCCTGGTCCTGAGCTTGACCTGAGGGGTCACCCACCTTGTCCCGCTGCCAGGATGGGCTTCAGGTGGGGCTGTAGCTGGACTGGGGTCTTGAATGGGGGTACCTACAACCCTGAGGTCAGAGCCCTGATGCAAGCTGGGGTTCTTTGGTGGGGCAGCACGGGGCACAGAACGCCCCTTCTCCTGAGGTAGACCCCTGATTCTCACTTGGTGGGAGCCACGTGGATCCTGGGTGACAGGTATGTATCTCAGCCCCTCCCCATCCCCCAGAAGGCACTGGGACTCTTGGGTCTGGAGACATAACTCTGATGTATCCCAGCCCTCACTGCCCCTCCTGGGTGACCCAGGTGTCACCCCTCCTGTTGGCTCTGTTCCTTCTCCTGTGGGGGTTACCCAGGGTCTGGTGGGGGGCAATGCCTTCAGCTGCAGGGTGCTGTGGCCCTCTCAGCTGAGAGGGTGGCCTCTCAGCCCCCTGGACAGAACCCAAACATAGAGGAGGGGTCTCTAGGGAGGGTCTCTGGCACACAGAGGACACTGAGACACTGTCTGGGGCTCTGCACATCCAGAGGGATGGGGCTGTCCTCACCCGAATCCAGGGGAAGAACCTGCCGGGGCATCATTCCTTCTTGGTGGCCCAGAGGGAGCAGCCTGGGCAGCTGGACGGGCCAGAGGCAAACGGGGTGCATGGGGACCTCTACCTCCACATTCTGCAGAGTCAGGGGTAGGGTGGGCAGGCTCTCTGGGAAGGTGATGAGATGTCTGGGGGACCCTCCCCATGGCCAACCTCCAGGCTGGTCTCAAAGGATGGGTCCTTGTCCCTCAGATGCCCAGTCTTTGAGGGTATCTGGGTGCCAGTAAAGGAGACAATGGCAGGTCCTGTCTGCAGAAGCTGTGGTTGTTATCCTATGCTCCCAATGTCCTTCGGGGTACACCTTGGGCCCTACCTGACCTCCACCATTTACACCCCTTCTTTGGCACCCTAATGAGTTACCACAGTGGGTGACAGATGGCGCTAACCCTAGTGACCCCACTACTTTGGGGGACTGTCCCCATGCCACAACAACCCTTGCCTCTACTGCTGCTGTTGCTGCTGCCTTGGGCCCTGAGGTCATTTTGGTGTCACACTCTCTGACAGTGGCAGCGAGTATGCTCTGCACTCCTCACCTGCCTAGTGGCGACACTCTGCACCACAATGCCACTCTCTTTGGGTCCTACCGGCGTGACCCCAAGGCGGGCATCCAGACCAGAACTGGAAAGCAGGGCAGTGGGAAGAGTGGGGCACTCCTGGATGGGAACCAGGAATGTACTCAGTTGAAAGACGGTGCAGCGGCGCCCTCTGCTGGCCACCAGGTCTGTGGCCGAGCTACTCCCTGACCGGACCCAGGTGAGGTGGGCGGTCGGAAGTCCCTCAGGTGCTTGGTGCTTGGGAACTTCCTGGAGTGGTCTGGTTTGGCCTGACTCAGGCATGTCTGCGGCAGCATGTCCCCTCACTTCCCAGAACGCTCAGTACCTTCCCCCATGAGTGATCGTATTTCTGCCATTTCCACCTGGTTTGTGGGAGCACTGCTTTTTCCAGGTTTGCTGGGAGCCCCTGCGAACATTCAGAGGAGTATCTAGACAGTGCCTACCCCCAGTACTGAAATTGCATTCCTGTCCAGACATCGGACTCCCATCTTTTACATGAGCTCTGGTGGCGTAGTGCCTATGGCATTTGACTGCCAATCAGAATGCTGGAGGTTCAAACCCAGCAGCCACTCCTCGGAAGGAAGACTGGGCAATCTACTTCCATAGAAATAGTGCTTCAGAAACCAAAGGAGAGGTTGCTATGAGTGTGAATCAACTCACGGCAGTGAGGGTTTTTTTTTGTCCCATAACATCAGCTCAAAAATATGTCAAGCTCGTTCATCTTTTATTAACATGTGATGGCACTCCATGACAATGACACCTGCACCTTCCTCGCTGTCACTACAGTTGGTCTATGACCAGCTACAAGGCATTGTTCCCAGTGTCTTCTCTTCCTACCCTCAGAACAGCAAGATCACACAGTCTGCCTGGATGCACGGAGGCCCTCTGTTAGGATAGTGTCACTTTTTACTTGCTGAATGAGCTTTCCCTGCTGGTGATGGAAACTGCGCCGTAATGCTCCCTCTTCAAATGGCTCCCAGGGCACATGACATTCCTGCCATTTTAGACCCACCCCTGAGTCCTTTCCAGGGTGTTTAGCTGGAATTCCAAGACAGCATCGGTAAGCCCGGAAAACCCACCGGTGGCTGCTCTGCAGGAGGGTCTGTGGCACACTCCGGAGATACACCAAGTAGGCCAACCTCAGAGTGTCTCCAGGTGGTGTATTTAGACTTACTTATCCCTGGGGACAAAGGTGGGCAGCCAACCAGGGTGTTGCCTAGTTCCCACCGCTGAAGAAGGCAAGCAGGGCCAGGCAGGAGCGAGGGCTCCCACGCTCCATAATCTCACTGTCCTGGCTTTCCACACATGGACTGGATTTGAGATCTGTCCAAGGACTGATGCAGTCAAAGGACCCTCCTCAAGAGGGCAGGTGTGCACAGTCATATGTCCAGTCCTCTTCCAAGAGTAAGTGGCCATTCATTGGGGTCTGAACCCTGAGGACAAGGGACCCAGTAACTCAAGGACGTGGGGATGCCAGAGCAGGAGTGGTCTCTGTGGCAGGTCCAACCTGTGGGCCTCCAGCCCTCTGGCCTAGGGCCTGAGATGGTGGACCATGGTGTTAGAAAAGATGGCAAGTGGAATTTATGGCAAGTCTAATGAACACTCTCAGCATGACCCCTGAGGACCAATCTGTGCCAGCCTTCCCAGCAGCCAAGCACCCCAAGGAGGTGACTGAAAGCTGCTGTGGGAGTTGTAAACTTTGCTTTGGCAGAGATGGAAACGGGCCACCATGGGACCTCATCTGTCCAGAACTGCCACCACCACTAGGGTCCTTCAGACCCACCAAGTCATAGCACTCATAGCCAGTGACAATCCCCTTCATCTTGGGAGTGGAGCACTCTGGATTGGATAAACCTGATCCCATGTTATCCTCTGCTATTGCACCCATGCTGGTCCCTTGCTCTCTCCTGGGGCTGCCATGGACCTTTTCTTGACAAAATGGTCAAGACCAAAGATGTTTGAGCCTGGTTATCGATGGCCATTCAGTACACGTGTGCAGGATGGACACAGGTGGTAGCTGCAGTAAGCCCTCTTAGGGGTGGTTTGAGGGCCCTTATGAGAGGGATCCCCCCACACTATGGACAGAGCTTCAAGCAGGGCACCTGGCCATCCCTCTGTGTGGGGAGAAAGATGTGGCCTGGGATGGAATGTCCAGGGAGGCATAGGCAGGTGAAAGGGCTGGGCAGGTCACTGGGATCATGGAAGGGGGAAGTGCAAGGTGGGGACCTGGAGTTTGGGATAAGGGCTGGTTGTGACCATGCAGGATGACCATGGAGCATGGTGATCTTTGAGCCTTTTAACCTCCACCAGAGCACATTCACCCCAGAAGGGGACCTGAAGCATTAGGTGTAGGGCTTACATCCACCCTCGTCGGCCATCCTAGGGCTGGCTCTAAGCCACCAAGACCAGCAGAGGGACGGGCTGAGGGTGAGGAGCTGTAGGGTGGATCTCAGAGAAGGGAGACGGTATGTGCCTGCTGCATCCCTGAGCCAGTTGCAGTGGCAAGAGTGAGATCTGTTCTCCTGTACCTTCCTCTTCTGAGCTTTCCCAGAACTGGAGGGGCTTCTTCAAGAACCTGTACAAGAGCTTAATCTGGGCAGGTCAAGAGATGGACCGTGGCAGACGTGAGATGCCCATGCAGGCCAACTCACAGTAGACTTCATGCCTGGCTGCTGGGAGGGCTGGCAGAGATGGCTCTCAGTGGCTGGCCTCTCCTGGCATGCGTAACTCAGTGTCACGCCTCCTCCGAGGGTCCCCATTCGATGTCTGGTCAATACAGGGTGGTACAGGCTGGCCCCTCACCAAGTCTGCTTGTCTCTAAGGGTCGTTCTAGTCCCAGTGCCCCTGGTGGGGCCACCATTGTAGCTCAGCTTCTGCTTTCTGCTTCCCACAGGAGCTGATCCAAGAGCTTCTCCAAGAAGCAAACCTCCTTCCCTGAGTCTGCTTGTGGGACCACTCCCTAGCAGCTGTGTAGTACTGAATGGGCCATGACAGCCACCTCAGCTGTCACCAAGTGGGATGGAGCCATTGCATGTCCAAGCAGAGGAAGGATGACCTGTGTTGTTTTAACAGGGTCAGCCTGCAGAACTGAGAATGGACTCTGAGGGTTCCTGGAAGATGAGGGTGCACACAGTGAGGAGAGAGAGAGATGGTCAGACTCAACGTGCATTTGGAAGGGGGTGCCAACAGGATTTGTGGGTGGGTTGGATGTGGGGACAAGGGTACACCAAGGCTTTTGAGCTGAGTGATTACATGGATGGAGTCACTGTCACCTGACTGGAGAAGACTGGGCAGAGGGGGTTTAGGGAGAGAATCTCTCTGTGACAGTCAGGTTTGAGATGCATGAGAGCAGGCAGTTGGACATGTGGGTCTGAGGTTCAAGAGGGAGCCTGGGATGACTAGCCGCAAGGTGGCTGAGCCCACCAGAGGGATGAAGAGGAGCTTGTTCCGTACTACCCCTACAGCGATCAAATGAGGAGGCTCAGGTAGATGTGTGTCCTTGGTGCCACCTCACTAGCAGCTGCAAGGACAAATACAAATTAAAAATAAGGAAGAGGACCCCGCCTTTCTTTCAGGACTCAGTTTAGAAATGTACCTTTGCCAGTCTGTAAGTCTCTGGTGTTTCCTCACGGACCTGGGAGCCAGCTCTTGAAACATATTCATCCAGAAAAGTGGTATCCCTGCTGCTAGTTCCCCGGGAGGAGAGGACCTCAACTTCAGGGCACCAAACCCAACCTTTCCTCCACACACGGATACTAGGAGGTAAGAATTTTACCTACAAAACATGAAGGGGATGGGTTGCAGGCGCTGGGCTACCTAAAGGGTCAATCTTTCGCTCGGCAGTGTCTTCTTGCTTTAGTGGGTCCCCTGGGATGCACCCAACTCGGGCTCAATGTTCATTCTCTTGGACTTTGTGGTGAGGTTTTCTGGGCTGGGAACAGATTTCGTTTTTAATGACACTTCCAACACAGCACCAGCCTTTGTGTTCCCAGGGCCCAGGTGGGGCTAGTGAGTGGCTGACTGAATGATGAATGGGTCACTCCCATCTCACGGAAGGGGAAAGTTGAGGCTCACAAAGGTTAGGTGACTTTTAAGGATCTCAGTGGGAAAGCTGCGACTCTTCAGCCGCACCTCTGGACTTGGCACAGGAGACAAAGGGGCGGAGGGGCCTCGATGCAGCCTCTGGACAGGGGCAGGTCAGGCCTGGGGCGGGGGTGTGGGCAGTTCCCCAAGGTGAAGCCTCCTCATCTGGTGGCCCTGAAAACTCCTGCTGGTCAGAGAGGGAAACGCCTGCCCTTGTGCGCCCCTCCCCCATTCCCTGGGCTGCGGGGGTGGGGTGGGGGTGGCCCTGAGGGGCTCTCTGGTCAGTGTGAGGGCGCGCTGGGGAAATGGGGCCGTGGGAGGGGGCTTTGGTGGGCGGTCCGCGGCTACTGCACGCCCTCCCCGGTGTCAGCCTTTGATGGGGGCCCTGGGGCAAGGGTGGCCGCACCCTCCCCGGCCCCAGCCTATAATTTGCCGTTATATATAGCCGGCCGCTTTGGGTCGGTCCCGCCAGCGGGCGGGGGCTATAAGAGCTGCTCAGGGCGCCCACCCTCTAAGCAGGCGTCCGACGAGGAGGAGACGGCGCTGGAACCCATGGACACGGCATACCCCCGCGAGGACCCTGGGGCCCCGACGCCCCGCAAGGCCGACGGCGCCGCGCACACGGCCCTCAGGCTGGAGGTGCCGCGCCCCGCGCCACCGCGCGACCACCTGATCTGGTCTTTGTTCAGCACTCTCTACCTGAACCTGTGCTGCTTCGGCTTCCTGGCGCTGGCCCACTCCATCAAGGTGGGCGGGGCCCTTCGCGGGACAGCTGCTCATGGGGCTGCTTATCAAGGGGAGGAGGCCACTCGTGGGGTCCCCTTGCCAGGGGTAGGGGCAGGTACTCCATGGGGGCTACTTATCAAGGAGGGGCTACCCCACCAGCCTGGTGGTGGGCAGGAGCTACCCCTCCGAGTGGGGGTACTGCTCGCCAAAGGGGACAGGGTGTCCCTTCAGGAGATGTCTGAAATAGCACTGAGTCCAGGACCGTACTGCCCCAGGGGTCTTTCATCACATGAGGCCTTTTCACATGCTGGGGGGTCTTTGCTCCTGGGGTGGGGATGGGGCCTCAACACCCAGGAGTGCCCGGTCACAGAGGGACCTTGGAGCCTGTCAGTGGCCTGGGATGGCTGAGGTGACAGGAGGCAGGGGTCCCTGACCACCCAAGGCCCCACCGAGGGTTGGGCTAACCCTACGTATGGGGTAGGGGCAGTGAAGGGAGTGTCTGTTCCTCAGGATGCACCGCCCTACCCCAGCTCTGCATTCAGTGGCTGGTTGGGGTGGGGGAGGCAGAGGTCCCCAGGCCCTCAGTCCAGAGTGTGCTCTGAGGCCTGGCTTGTCTGCAGGCTCGAGACCAAAAGGTGGCTGGGGACCTGGAGGCAGCCCGGCGTCTGGGCTCCAGAGCCAAGTGTTACAACATCCTGGCTGCCATGTGGACACTGGTGCCACCGTTGCTGTTGCTGGCCCTGGTGGTGACCGGTGCCCTGCACCTGTCGCGGCTGGCAAAGGGCTCCACTGCCTTCTTCAGCACCAAGTTTGACGACAGTGCAGACTATGACTGACCCCTTCGGACCTGGGGCCCTGTGACCCCACCATGCCAATGACCCATCTCTGGAACCCTGACCCAGAGCCCTGGATTCTAACACTGGGGCTCCCCATACTGAAGACCCCCTTATTCAGATCCCAGAGCCTCATCCCAGGCCCCTAACTCTGCCCCCAGCCTTGGCTTCCCCTGCCAGGCTCAGGCTTGGGTTCAGAATTAAAGGCTTTGGTTCCTTTCTATGCCTGCGGTGCCTGATTCCTGGCAGTGCTGGGAAGAGGGAAAGGGCGGCCCCTGCACTCAGGCACTGGGCAGTGCTGTGGCTTCTGGGGCGGAGCCCTGGAAAGAAGTTTGCCAGCTCAGGCTTTGATCCCCCTGCAGCCCCCCGGGGCTGTGGTCTGGTGTGAGTTCCAGCAGATGTAGGCTGGGGCTGCCTGATCCCACACATGCATCACTCCATGTGTGCATGTGTGTGCATGTGCACATGTGTGCATATGTGATCTATGTCTTTGCTGTGAGTGTGTGCGCTCCTGTCTGTGGGTGGGGTGTGTACAGACCTCGGGCCACTCTGTCCTGTGATCCTGAGTCCCTTCAATTCTGAGAAGTCTCAGTCTGGTGGTGGGTTCCCTCCCTCCCAGGTCATGGAGGGAAGCTGGGAGGGTGGGGCGGGGCCTTCCCCAGTGATGCTAGGCATGTGCACACACTTCATCCACACCACTCCACGCATGCTGCTGTCCACAGGCACACATCCTCCCTCCAGTCTCTCTGCCTCTGTCTCTATCTCTGTTTCACACGCTGTCTCTTTTTGCCTGTCAGTTCCTCTCTGTGCCTTTCTTACTCACATAGGCACAGAGAGGCCAGCGAGGAGACAGTGGGAGGGAGAGGTCCCCTCTACCAACTGGCAGAGCCCAGCAGAGAGAGGCTGCCAAACACACCCAAGCCCTGTGTGGCTGGTGAGCCTTAGCCACTGTGGCCAAGGCAATGATGGGGTGGGGCTCACTGCAGGGGCCTGAACTGCAAGGCAGCCGGGGCTTCGAGCATCCCACCCAGGCCATCTTCCGTCCTAGAGTGCTCTGCCTGTCCCCTGGAGTCCCAGAGCCCCTTACTGCCCAGGGTCCCAGGCCCACTTGCCCTCTCAGGGACGAGCCTGCAGCCTACTGCCAGCAGCTCTGGTTCCATTGATGAAGCCAGAGCCAAGAGTAGCTGGGGTGAAAGCTGAGAGCCTGGCTACTCAGGAACGCCAGACCAGTCATGCCGGACCCTTGAGAGCACAACACGGAAGTCTTTTTATGGTGAAGCTGCACCGAGAGTCAAGTGATGTGGCTGCTGGCACAGTCCACCCCGCCCCCTCCACATGGCTCACCCTGTTTGTCCAGAGTCACTGGGGTGGGGGGAAGGGTCCTGAGAATTAGCACCAAGGGGATCATGGACATTGGGCTTGGATGTCAGACACGGACACCAGCCTGAAGGGCCCCCAGGAAGAGGCCAAGGAAGAGGCATGAGGGCATGTGGGAGGTCCCCTGTGAGTCAGGCACAGCAGGCCAGGGGCTGCAGGTGCAGGGGGCCTGATGCCTGCAGAGGGGTGGCTGGAGGGGTGAACCCCAGAAAAATCTCTGCAGCCAGCAGCCCCTGTTGATCAGGGCAGGGCCCAGGACAGCACTGGAGAGAGCCATGGGGCGGAGCTGGAAGGATGACAGGGTGTCCTAGAGGGAATCCGGGAGCTCCAAGGCAGGTGTCTGATGTCTTCTAAGAGGGAACTCAGAGCTAGAACTTCGCACTGAGTGAGGCACTACAGGGGGGACCTTTGTATCCAGCCGGCAGATTGGGGAAAGGAGACTTTACGTCCTGGAAAAGAGAGGAGCACACTGGAGGGAAGGGGACAAGGCTCATGTGGGGGCCATCATGGGGGCCACATGCCAGGACTCCAGGGTGTGTCTGTGGATGGTCTCCTACCTATGGGCAGAGGGAGCCGAGCCTGTGATGGCCTCAGCTCGACCTCCAGCAGGGGTGCCCAGGGTCCAGCACGGGCCGTGACCTGGACCGTCACAGAGTCCTCGGAGAAGGAGAAGTTGAGCTTGCTCCCCTGGTAGGAGAGGCCGGAGACAAAAACACCAGAGACCCCATCCGGACACAGGGGGTCAAAGGTTAGGCCCGCCCTGGTGATCCTGGTGGCAAGGGGGTTTCTGTGAGGAGGGGTGGGCCAGGGCCAGGAGACTCCCTCCACTGCCCACTGCACTCACCTGAACCCCGTGAACCCAAAGAGGGCCGCCTGCAGGAAGCCCCCCATGCCTGTCAGGAAGTTCACAGCTCCTGACCCGTCTGCATTCTCTGTCCACACCTGTGGGGCCGGGCCAGTCAGTTCCATGTCCAAGGCACCACCCTCCTGAGGTTGGCCCATGGCCCTGCTGAGGCCTGGCAAATGCCAGCCACGCTGACCTTGAAGGGCTCAGTGATGTTGGCAAAGGTTCTGTCCAGGAGGCCCTGCACCCGCCCCGGCTCCTTCAGCTCCATCCAGCCCACGGCAAACATACTCTGGGGCCAGAGGGTACACAGAGGTGAGACCTGCTGTCCTTGGAGAGACTGAGCCTTCATCATCCCCACTTCCAGGCTGCTCACCCAAGTCATGGCAGGGCCCTGGGGGGTCGTCACAGCCTCATACAGCTCAAGGTTCCTTCTCCGAATGCTAGGACTCAGGGGGTAGGGGACGGGATAGCCCAGGAGGATGACATCGGCCTGCTTCACCTCTTCCCCTGGAGGGGTTGGGGGTGCTGATGGGGGGGGCACTAGGCAGGGGCTGCTCTGCATTAAAGGGGAGGGGCATTCACAAGGACCCAAGGTGGGGCAAGAGTTCCCATTGTCCACAGTTCTTGGGGGTCTGAAGGCAGGCCTGAAAAAGCTCATAGTTCACTCACCAAGCTTATACCCATCAAACTCAGGGTGGAAGTTGCGTTCTGGGTCAAAGGGCACCTTGATCTTATCAGCTACCTCCAGCCACTGGTCGGGGACCGGCAGACCCAGGTCCTTGGCCAGGGCACTGGCAAAGCGCAGGCTGGGAGAAGCGTGTGGATGCCCGTGTCAGGAGCGGGGCTTCCCCCACGTGTGTGGGGCGTGAGTCCATGTGGGGGTGGGGTGGGCCTGGTGGGGGTGCTGGGCCTGCTCTGAGGGCAGGTGAAGGGCGGGCCCAGGGCCTGACCTGTTCTGGACCAGGACGTTGGTGTACACTGAGTTGCTGACACCCGAGTGGAACTCATCGGGGGGCATGACCCCTGGGGACATGAGAGGAAGAGGTTTTCAGAGAGGGCCTTGGGGGGCTGCCCTTGGAGCCAGCTTCCACTCCCCCACCGCCCTCACCCCTTAGGTGGTAGTTCTCTTCCCCAGGGCTCCATTCCACACGGCTGCACCAGAACTCGGCCACTGCACTGATGAGGTCCCAGCCCCCGGCGTCTCGGAAGAGCTGCAAGTCCTGGGGGAGAAGCTGAGGGTGGGTGGGGACCACGGGCTCCCTGCACTTCTCCCCTAACACCAACCCCACCCTTCAGAGCTCGGAGCCCCACAAGGCCTGGCCCCCAGACAGGCAGGAAGGCACTGAGGAACATGGCTGTACCAGGAGGGTGGTCACACGCACAGGAGGCTAAGCCTAGCTCGGTGGACAGAGGGGCCTGATCACACCTCGTCTGGCAGGCACCTGGCAACTCACCTGGGTGGAGTAGTAGTACAGCTCAAAGGCCAGCACTACTGCCCCATTGATGTGCAGCTCTTGGACCCCGTAAATGTCCTCGGGGCAGACCTCCAGGCCAGAGCTGGCGCTCTCCCAGGCGAATTTGGCTCCCTGAGGGATGGAGCCAGCTTGAATATGTTCTGGGGGCCGTGGCAGTTTAGCCCTGCCTGATATGCTGGGCCTTCACCTTGAGGGTGGATCCCAGTGCAATTTGGCCCCCTGAGGGATGGAGCCAACTTGAATATGTTCTGGGGACTGTGGCAGTTTAGCCCTGCCTGATATGCTGGGCCTTCACCTTGAGGGTGGATCCCTGTGCAGGGGAAGACAGAGGTGGGGGCTCCCCATCCCTATGTGCCTCTTGTGGGTGGTGGCTCCCAGCGACCTGCCAGCACCTGCCAGGTACCACGTGCCCACTGGGTGAGGGCAGAGGAGGTGGTGAGGTGGCACTGTGCTCCCACCTCCTCCCTCAGTCGGGGAGAGGGGAGAGTACTGCCTCGCCCACAGAGAGCAGGTGCCGGCCCCTCACCTGATAGCCCAGCTTGTGCGCATTGTCCAGGGCCCCACCCAGCGTGCGGATGCGGTACTCCAGAATGGCCCGGGCAGCCTCCGGATGGAACATCAGGATGTTGGGGAACATCCAGAGATCCTGAGGGAATGCCCCAGGGGCCCTTATTTTGGGAGCTGGATGGGCAACCCCTCCTGTTTGCACCCTGCCCTGGAGGGTGTCAGCTAAGTGTGCACGGAGGGCAGTCAGCAAGGCCCACCACCACCTCTGACTCCTTGCAAAGCTTCCCGGCTACCGATGCAGCCTGTCCCAGGCCTTCCCTGGGCCCAAACCCTCCTTTGGCTGCCTGCTTGTCCTGTCTCTGCCCCTTTCAACATCTAGGTCTACCCAGGGCTCAGCTGGAATCTGCAGCAGGTTCTTGCCCCACGCTCACAGCTGACCCGGGGAGAATGCAATTCTCCGAGCCATCTGTAAAGTGGGTCCACAGTGCTGACTTGGCAGGCTGCTGGACGGCACAGCAGCAGCACCGAGTTGACTGGCCAGGACTCATAGTCGTCACCAAGTCCTGTCCCTCCGCTGGGCAGTTTCTACCCCCTCCAGCCGTCCACTATCACTGCCTCGCCCCAGCACCCACATGCTACTCAGTTGCCACGCAAGGGTTTAAGGAATACCTCTCTGTTCCTGTCAGCCCTGGCTCCGACGGCGCACGGGTGAGCACCTAGCCCCTCACCACACTCTCTCCACAGGCCCTGTGGGATCCTGCTCAGTGAGAACCCCTCCCCTGGTGCGTGGGAGCCCCCACCCGGCTCCAAGCCCAGGGAGTACAGAGCAGTGGCCTCCAGGCTCCTCTGTGCTGCTGCCTGCCAGGCTGGGCGCGCGGGCAGACGGTCCGCACCTGGTCCCAGAAGACGTGGCCCCAGTAGCATTCGCCACGGCTGCCGTTGGACAAGCCGCCGGGGCTGAGGCCGTGGCACACATAGTCTGGGGTCCCAGGCTGGGGCAGCGCGCTGAACAGGTAGTATAGTGCGCCACGCAGGGCCTGGCGCAGCCGCAGGGGCCCCGCCACGTCCAGGCCGCAGCCAGCCCAGAACCCGGCCCAGGCCCGGGCGTGGGTCGCATAGAGCACGCCGCGGTCTCGTAGCCGTAGCGCCTCGCGGAGCCAGGCCCGGGCCTCCGCCTGGCTGCCGCCCACCGCGATTGGGAACTCCCAGGCTGCGTCCTCCTCGCCTCCGCCGAGGGTCAGGGCCGCGGGTGCAGGTACCCACAGCATGTGCACCTCCTGCCGGGGCCCCCCGGGCTCCTCGGGGGTGAGCGTGCGGCCATACAGGTACCTGCGGGAGCGTGAGTGGTTGGTCAGGGCCAGGCCCCTAACCGACCCCCCCCCGAAAGGCTCCCCCCCCCCCCCGCATCCTCCCTCCTGTGTCCCCACCACCACCCGCCAGGGTGCCTCACCAGCCCCCTGCTGAGTCACTGGCCTCAGCCCCCTGCACCACGTCCCCACCCATCCCTTCACCTCCTCCTAGGTCCCCCTGCCTTGGACCCCCTCACCGAGCTCCCTGGAAGTCTGGGCCCAGGTGCAGGTCCAGGTCTGGGCTTTCTGGGGAGAAGTCTGCCTGCAGCTGCACCGTGATGGGCTGGCTCCCTGCGGCCATGCGAGCAATGGATACGCTGAAGACCAGGACCTGGGCCAGCGTGCGGTGGGCATAGATGCGCTGGGAGGCCCGGAAGCTGGTGCACTCCAGGGTGTGCAGAAAGGAGCCTGCAGAGGAGGGGCGGCGGGAAGCCTAGGTGCCCACATCTCACAGAGACCCATGGGGCTGAGAGGCAGCCCCTCCGGCCCCTGGCGGCCTCTCCTCACAGCAAAGGTGGATCCGTCCTCTGAGCCACAGTTCCCCTGTCTGGAAAGCTATGGTCTGCACCGATGACTCCACCAGACCCCAGCAGAGGGAAAGGGAGACCAGAGCCAGGCCTGGGAGAGGCACTGGGCCTCCAGAACCACCTTTTCTTTGGCAGTTGGGGTCCTGAGACACCCTGTGTAGAGTTAGGAGGCATTGGGATGGCATTTCCTTAGGAGGAAGAAGGGGGCAGACAGACAGATGGCGGCTACCTGTGTTGGTGTCCAGAGTGAAGGTCTCGGTTCCCTGCTCTCCCAGCTCTGCAGAGGCCTCCAGCCGCACATTGAGGGGGCAGGGCAGAGTGGCCCGGTGCGTGTCCCCCCCAGCACCGTTGTACACACCGCTCACGTGCAGCACTTCATGGTACACTTGTGCGCCAAGGTATGTATTGGTCATGGGGGGCCAGAGGCGAGGGTCGCTGGGCAGAGAGCGGGCAGTGAACGTGGTGGGGTCCTCCCCAGCATCATCCATGGAAGGGCGTGGCTGGCGTGGCCTGGAGAAGGGCCACGTCAGGACCTGCAACTTGCTGGGCTGCCCTGTTCTTGTGTCTGTGAACACCCAACATACCTTGGGACCTGGCTGACCTCTGCAACAGATGATGAGGTGAGGAACTTATCTGGGGCCTCCACCCCCACGCCACCCTGGGAACCACCTCTCCAGCCCCTCAGGTCCTTTTCCAGAGACTTCCTCAGCCCTCAGAGCTGCTCAAACCCCCTGACGTTGATCTCCAGGACTAGCTGAGGCCCCATACCTGTCCCCACAAGCTCCCACCTTAGGATGCCAATCCGGACCCATGGGGTCCTGTGTCTGTTCTCCAAGCCGCATCTCAGGTCCCTACCCTGTGGTCTTGCAGTTGGGGGTATTGGGCGTTAGTGGTCAGGCCAGAGGGTTGGATGAGAGGTTTCAGCCCAGAGGACAGACACCGAAAAGTGGACAGGGGGGCAGGCCAGGTTGGGGGCTCAGCAGTGTGTACGGGGGTCCTGGGGTGGCAGGAACTGAGCCACGAAAGGGAGAGGCCCTGGGCTGGGGCTGCTCGGGGTGGGGGGCCAAGCTAGGGGAGAAGGGGTTGCCTGCCACAATTCTGGGACTCACCCACAGCCAGTCTCCTGCTCCGACCACCAGAGAGGAAGTCTGGGGTCTCCGGGTTGCCCCTGGGGCTGCTGCTGTTTCTCCAGGTGCAGGAAGCAGAAGTCCCGCTGCCTGCCCATCCACGTCACCCGGAAGGGCCCCAGGTCCCCGCCCCCGGGAGGCGGCCCCAGGCAAGGAGACCGGTAGGGCCGTCCAGGGCCTCCTTCCTTGCCCAGAAGGTGGCGTAGCCCGGGCTGGATGCCTGAACAGGGCAGGGGGTGGCCGGTAGTAGCGCGGATGTGGGGATATGCTGCAGCCCCTCCCGTCACCAGGCTTGCATCTGTTCTCTCCTTGCTGAGGAGCCCTGAGGGGCGGGCAGCTGGGCCTGGTGTAAGTTGTTGCCTCAGTTGGACACTCAGGGACCTGAGGAAGGAGCTGGCCTTTGACCTCAGATGACCCTAGTGGTGGGATCCAAGGGCAGCTTGGGGCCCTCTGTGCCATTCCCACGGCACAGACTGAGCTCTGTTGTCACCAGTGCTCCAACCCCGAACCCGAAGCGTAGGTCTCCCCTCCTCCTGGAAACAACCCTGGGACTCCCTCTCCACCTCTCTTTCAACTCCCTCCTCTCCTAGTCCTCAGCTCATTGCTGGGTCTATCTCTTCGCTGTCACTCTTACTCCTTGCCTGTTGTGGATGCCATCCCTTGCACAGCAGCTTCACCTGGCCTTCCCTGCCAGGGGACCCCAGTCCCCCTGCCAGTTGCTCCCTTCCCAGCCATGGAGGCCGGAGCCTGCAGTGTCACCCATCTTACTCAGACACACACCCAGGAGGCTAGAGGGCAGTAGGCTCTGCATCTCCTAGCCACCCTGCACGCTGCCCTCCTCAGTAGTTCCTGAACATTCCAGGCAGGCATCTCTCGGTGGCCTCTGCACTTGCTGCTTCATTTGCCTGGGACGCTTTTCTTCTGGGAACCCTTGTGCTCACTCCCTCCTGTCCCCAGATGTCCTGTCCTCATGGGCGTCCAGGGCCCACTTCAGGTGGGAAACCCTTCCAGTCCTCGCTCCTTCCCTCCGCAGCACTCATCAGTGCTCTCCTACATGGGCTTGACTTGTGTTGTGTGTATGTGAATCATGTGGCCTTATTGTCTCATGTCTATGTAACCCACGTGTGTTTAGGTATGTTATGTATCACATGTGTCCTTAGTGTCTCATACATTTTATTACATATGCACTTATTGTCCATGCTGTGTATTTATGTGACACATATGTGCTTATTGTATCATGCATGTGTTATCACACATCCTGTGTTCTGCATTTGTGTATCACATGGGTACTCTCATCTGATGTGTCTTTACATGTCATACATGGACTTGTGTGCTTGTCTCACCATTATGTGTCACATGTGTACTTTGTGTATTATGTTGTGTATGTGTGTGTCACTTGTATACTTACTGTTCCGTGTTATGTATTATGTATTATGTAGGCCAGCTGCAGGAGGGCAAGGATTTTGTCTGCTCTGTAGAATGAATGAATGGCTGAATTTAGAAACTAGATTATGGAAGAGAATGTCCCCTGGGAAGTAGAGGGCCTCCACCTGGAACCAGTGCCACAGTAGCCAGCAGAGCAGAGAGACTTGGAGACTAAGGGGCCGACAATGCCCACCCTCTACATTTTGGTGGGGGACCAAAGGAAAGATGGGGAGCACCTGTTGAGACACTCAGTCAAGTGTAACAAATGCCAAACCAAGATGGAGCTGAAGGGACTTTATCATCAGTGCGTGGGGGTTGCTGGCCTGTGCCCCACCCCCCTGCCCTCCCCTGGCCTTCCTTCCTGAAGCCCTCTGGTCCAGCCTTGGGGACAGCCTCACTCCTAACGCCAAAGCCCAGTTTCTGGAGAGGGATGGTGAGTCCTGCTAGATCCACTGTGGCCAGGAGGCTGTGGGGTTACACTGGATGGGGGGGCAGCGAAGGGGTCACTCTGCAGTGAGAAGACCTGGCAAAGGTATTTAGTCATGGAGCCCTCACCTTCATCCTTACTGGGGTGCCTACAAAGGGCTGAGGGACCCAGAAGAGGAAGGAGTGGGGAGGAGACCCTGGGTATGGGGCAGAAGAGCCTGTCCGAGGCCCTCTTAGGACCAGGTAAGGAGACATAGTGATCTCTCCTTGGGTTTCTGAGGCAGTATCTCTGGAAGTAGATTGCCTAGTCTTCCTTCTGAGGAGTGGCTGGTGGGTTTGAACTGCCAGCCTTCTGGTTAGCAGTCAAATGCCTTAGGCACTACACCACCAGAGCTCGCCTCCATGTGGGGCCTCTGATTATGGAGTCACTGCCCTTGGTTGGCCTTCAGGGTCTCAGAGAGCACTGCTGACCCCTTGGGAGGCTTCAGGGCTGTCCTCCAGCCCAGGGTGTGTGATGGCCAGTCCTGGCTTCGCCGTCTTCACAGCCCGTAGCTCCTGCAGCGAATGCTCGCTCAGCTCCACAGAGGCCAGACTACAACCATGCACAGGACAGAGGAGGGCAGTCAGGCAGTGGGGCAGGGATAGGCTTGGGAGGCATTGGGGAAAAGGGCCAGAGCCTGGGCCTGAGGAGTGTGTGTGTGTGTGTGGCGGGGGGGAGACACATCCCAAGGCAGAGCAGAGGGCAGGAGAAGAGTCAGGACCTGGGGTGAGGGGAACAGAGGACCTAGGAGGCAATAGGGGAAAGCTGGCCCAGGCTTTGACCAAAGGCCCGTGGGACAGATGGTTGGCCAGTCAGGGAGGTTGTCAGAGGCTGGGGGTGGGACAGGAGCTCAGGGCCAGGGCTTCAGAGGCTGGGCCTCTGTGGCTGGCCTCCCAGATGGTGTTTGAGTGTGATCCCTCAGGGTCCCTGGACAGAGAAATCCCCCAGCCGCCCAGGGTGGAAAGGCTGCCCCCCCAACATGTGCCCTCTGCCTGCACCTGAGGGCCTGCAGGCTGCATCCAGGGTGCTGCAGGGTTATGCACAGGTAGGTCACAGTGGGACCTGGCAGCTGGCAGCCGCTGAGGTCCAGGGTGGTCAGCACCTGATTCTGTAGGAGCAGGCCCACCAGGTACTGGAGTGATTCCTGGAGGCTGGGCTGCTGCACCCTGCGGGAGGCCAGTCTCAGGAAGGGTTGTGGGCCCCCACCCCACCCCACCCCACCCCTCCTGGCAGGGCCTCACCTGAGCGTCTGCACTCGGCACCTGGGCGAGGCCAGCCCCTCACACAGCAGTCGCAAGCCCATGTCACTGAGACTGTTGTGCTGGAGACTCAACTCGGTCAGGGCAGGGGCCACCCTCAGGGCGTCAGCCAGGTCCCGGCACACAGAGTCTGGGAGTTTGCAGTGGGACAGCCTGTGGTCAACAAGCATGAGGGTTCATCTGCAGCCCCCAGCCACCTCACGACACCCCAGCTATACGAACTGCCCAGCTCTCTGGAGAGACATGCTGGCTCCACACCAGTTTCCCTGGTCCCTAGAGCTCTGCATGCCTGCATCCCCACTGGGCACTGAGGTCTGTGTTCCGCTCTTCCTGCAGGACATTATCCCATCCAGACTTTGGATGGCTCCATACAGACCTACTGTTAACATGTTCAGATCTCAACTCACATTCCAAACCAGAAAACTCACTGCCATTGAGTTGATTCTGGGTCATAGCAACCACCATTGGGTTTCCAAGGCAGAAAATCTGTACAGAAGTCCATTGCCCCATCTTCCTTCCTCGGAGTGGCAAGTGGGTTTGAACCACCAACCTTCTGGTTAGTAGGCAAATGCCTTAGCCACTGTGACACCAGAGCTCCTTCAACACACATTGTTGTTAGGTGCCATTGAGTCAGCTCTGACTCACAGCAGCCTTATGTACCACAGAACAAAACACTGCCCGGTCCTGCGCCAGCCTCACAATTCTTGCTATACCTGCTGTGTCAATCCATCTTGTTGAGGGCCTTCCCCCTTTTCACTGACCCTCCGCTTTACTAAGCTTGACGTCTTCCTCCAGGGAATGGTTCCTTCTGACAACATGACCAAAGTAGGTGAGATGAAGTCTGGCCATTCCCGCTTCCAAGGAGCATTCTGACTGCCCTTCTAGGACAGGTCTGTTAGTATTTCTGGCAGTCCATGTTACTTTCAGTATTCTTCAGCAACACCACAACTCAAAAGCATCAACTCCTCTTTAGTCTTATTTGTTCACTGTCCAGCTTTCACATGCACATGGGGCAAGGGAAAATACCATGACTTGTGTCAGGCGCCCCTTAGTCTCCAAAGAGACATCTTTGCACTTCAGCACTTTAAAGAGGTTTTTTTTGCAGCAGATTTGCCCAGGGTTATACTTCATCTGATTTCTTGACTGCTGCTTCCATTGGTGTTGATTGTGGAACCAAGTAATATGAAATCTTTGACAACTTTGATCTTTTGTCCATTTACTGTGATGCTGCTTACTGGTCCGGTTGTGAGGATTTTCATTTTTTTTATGTTGCGGTGTACTCCACACTGCAGACTGTCATCTTTAATCTTCATCAGTAAGTATTTCAAGTCCTCTTTACTTTCAGCAAGCAAAGTTGTGTTGTCAGCATATCGCAGGTTGTTAATGAGTCTTCCTCCAATCCTGATGCCAAGTTCTTCTTCCTATAGTCCATCTTCTTGGATTATTTGCCCAGCATACAGATTGAACAAGTATGGTGAAAGGATACAGTCTTGACATACTCCTTTCCTGTTTTTAAGCCATGTGGTGTCCTCTTGTTCCGTTCAAATGACAGCGTCTTGGTCTATGTATAAGTTCCTCGTGAGCACAATTAAGTGTTCTGGAATTCTCGTTCTTCTCAATGTTATCCATAATTCGTTATGATTCACACAGTCAAGTGTTTTACACAGGTAAACATCGTTCTGGTCTTCTCCACTTTCAGCCAAGATCCGTCTGACACAAGCAATGACAGGGTGATATCCCACTAACGTATGTTGGCAATGTTTCAGAGCTTTATGGATTCGTATTAGTGTGTCTAAAACCAAACCGAACCAGCTGCAGTTGTGTCTATTCTGACTCACAGTGATCCTACGGGACAGGGCAGAACCGCCCACAGGGTTGTCAAGGCTGTTGCATTTGCGGAAGCAGACTGCCCCATCTTTCACTTGAGGACCGGCTGATGGTTGGCACTGCTGGCCTTTAGGTGCGCAGCTGTGTGCTCGGCCAGCTCCTTTCAGCGTGTCTGGTCCATCACTATGGCTGGCCAGCTGTGTTGTTTCAGCTCTTATACCACGGTACATGCTGTCGTTTGAACATCTTTTCATACCTAGTTTAGCATTTGAATTGTTGGCATCAATCCTGTGAAGTAGAATCTTTTGGCTTCATTTTATAGAAGAGGAAACTGAGGCTGAGACAGACTGACTTGCCCAGGGGCACACAGGAGTTCCAGGAAGCCTGGCCTCGGAACCGGTGCCCTGAAGACAGCACTTGCTTCTAAGAACCCAGAGGGATTGCCCAGCAGTGTCCAGCTGCACTCAGCAGCCTTCTTCAGAAAGGAAAATACACCCAGGTCTTCTTCCCTAGAAGGGTTAGCAGAACCAATTCCCACTCAAGCCTGGCCTACACCTTCCTTCCTACTGGCCTCCTCCTGGGGGTGGGGCCCCTACCAGCCCCCCGCCCCCCTCTTCTGCTCTCTGTGGGCAGAGTCTGGAGTGCCGTCAGCCTCAGACACTAGAGTTACAGACTGTCAGCTTTCCATAGACAGGACTGCACCCCTGTCCCCACCCCAGGCATCCTGCCCTGAGTGCTCTCCTTAATCTCCGTGGTCACTCACGTCAAGCTGCTCAGGCCACATTGCTGGTCAGTCATGGCCTCACAGAGTGGACGCAGTGGGGAGGCTGACGGTTGTCTCTGGGTGGCTCGAGAATTCCTGGGGGAGAGAGGAAGGTAAAGGCCACCTGGCCCCTTCTAGGCCTTCCCCCTAAAAAGGACTCCTCAGCCTAGGCTGAGCCAGGACCCATTCTCTGGTCCTGGACACAGCCCCTTGCCGCCCCCCCGCCCCCTCCCGGCCATCTGTCTGCCCCCTACACACGGGCCTGATGTAAATGTGCCTGTCCCTCTCCCAGGCCCAGTCTCTGCCCATGGCCTTTCATTCTCTAACAGATGCTAAGCACCTGTGTCAGGTTAGACAGGGAGCACCTGTCCTGGGGGAGCTGAGACTCTAGTGGAGGAGACCACAAGGCAGGTGGTCACAGGTCAGCTGGGGGAGCCAGGCTAGGCTTGGAGCCCAGCCAGAAGCTGAGAGAGTTCTGGATGGAGGGAAGAGAGCAGGACTTGGGCTGAGCACCCGTATGTGGGGAGGAAAGGGCCGTTGGGCCAGAACTAAGTGCACACTGGAAGGGTGGGCACTTAGAAAGGACCCTGGGGGGGGGGGAGTAGAACTGTTCACTACAGGTTAGTAAGCCTCTGAGCTGGGGGCCACTCTGCAAGGTGTGTGTGTGTGTGTGTGTGTGTGCAAAAGTAGCCCTAAAGTCCCGCCCTTCCGTGGGAGGGAGGGCCCTCGGGTGCGGCCCCGCTCTCCCAGCGCAGGGGGCACTCATGCGCCACGCCTAGGCGACCCGCACGCCGCTGGGCACAGCCAGATCCCCGAATGCAGCCTTCGGCGAGCACACGTGGCCCGCCAGGCCGCGGGCGCTCAGCCCTCGGCGGAGACTCACCCGCCGCCCAGGCTGCCCTGCAGCCGCTGCACTAAGCTTCTCTTCCTCTTTTCCCGCACCACGCTCGGCCGGCAGCTGAGCAGCCGCAGCGCCTGTCCCGCCGGGCAGCACCGCACGCAGTAGCTCAGGACCGCGAGGTCCATGCGGCTGAAGCGCACTCGCTCCAGCGCCAGCTCTGGCAGGCCCCGCAGGGCCTGGCGCACGAACTCGCCTTCCTGCGTCTCGTACAGGCAGTACAGCAGCTCCAGCGGGTAGCTGAACTCCTCGTCTTCTCCCTCCGGCTCCTCGGCCCGCTCAAGTCCTTCCGGCTGCTCCGTTCCCTCTGGCGCCGCCGCGGAGCGGCCCTGGCCCAACAGCCACCGCAGGGCGTCTTGCTTCACGCGCTCAGAGACCACACAGGCGAAGTGGCGCTCAATGTCGTGCATCCGCTCGGCGTTCAGCAGCCCGAAGAGGAAACGTCTGGTGAGTGTCAGGTGGCCTCGCAGCTCCGCATCGGCGCGCAGGAGCGCCCCGACGCCACCGCCGGGCGCCTCGGGCCGCCCCTCCTCCAGTAGGTAGGACAGCGCTGCGAAAAACTCCTGGAAGCTGTGGTCGAAGAACTGGTGGACGGCCTCGGCCTCCAGCACGCCCGGCATCTGCTTCTTGTTGAGAAACAGCGTCTGCACGCCGGAGCCGCGCAGCTCCAGTCGCTCCAGGTCCTTCTCTGCGAACTGTGCCCGGCGCCCCAGGACGCCCTCGCGGGCCAGGCGGCACAGCTTGCGCAGCTCGCCCTGCACCCAGGCCCCGCTGGCTGGAGGCTCCGAGCGCAGCAAGGTAACGATGAAAAGCAGGTACACGGATGTGGTGGTCCTGGAGGTGCGCGACAGGTCCTGGCCGCGCTCTAGCTGCTGGCGCAGCACGGTGCACACGATGGAGCACACGAAGGGGACGAAGCACAGCGCGAACAGTGTCTCGTTCTCCTTCACGAAGCGGTAGGCGCGCTCGGCCCTGCGCTCGTTGCGAAAGAACTTGTAGAAGTACTTCTTCTTGTCCTTGTCGGAGAAGCCGCGCACCTCCGAGCACTGCGGCGAGCGCAGGTGGCCCTGCAGCCTTTCGGCCGCGGCAGCGCGCGTGGTCACCAGGAGGCGGGCCGTGGGCAGCAGCGACTTGCTCAGTAGCGCGCTCAGGATCTGCGCGCCGCCGGTCGCCTGGAAGGGGTCGGTGCAGGGCGCAGCCTTGGAGGACACCTGCGCCGGCAGCTCGTCGGCGCCATCAAGGATGAAGAGCAGCCTCTCGGGCCGCGCCAGCATCTGGCGCACCGGCGCCCTGCGGTCGGGGCACTGATCCAGGACCAGGTCAGCCAGGCTGCGTGCGCACGTTCTCTCCAGCAGCTCGTGGCATGGCAGGAAAAAGGCGAAGTCCACCTGGCCTTGGTAGAGCTTGCCAGCCGCCCAGTCGTACAGGATCTTCTTGGCCGCCATGGTCTTGCCAATGCCCGCCGGGCCCTGAAGCACCACGGTCAGAGACCGCTGTCCTTCCGGGTCTGGGCCGTACAGCCGGTTGAAGGTGTCGGTATCCGAGCGCCGCGCGCGCCGTGGCGACGGCTCCTCCGCAGGCCCCAGAGCATCGTCCTCGGCGTCGGAGCCCTCAGGCGCGATGAGCAGTTTGGTGAAGCGCTTGGTGATCTTGACCGAGCGCGCGTTCCTCTCTTTCACCTTGGCATGCAGCAGCAGCACGTGCTCACGGTATTTCTTCTTGTACTCTTGTGGAGGGGGGCAGGGACATGAGAGCAGAGGTGTCAGCCGACCCCCACGGCCATGCCCTCTCAGTGGGCTCAGGCCTCGGTCTCCCCTGGCGCTAAGCCTTCCCTGCACTCGGGGCTCCCTGAGACCAGCTACTGGTCCCAAGGGTGCCGGAGACTCTCGTGATCCCAGCTGGGGTCAGACCTACCAGACGCGGAGAGCTCCCCGGAGGGTCCAGGGCCGAGGCCTGGAAGGGAGACAGGCTGTGAGGTCCGGTGCAGCGCACAAAGCGGGGTGGGGGCGCTAAGGAGGGGGAGGGGGGCTACCCTCAGGAGCGCCCAGGATCCCAGCCCCGCCGCTGTGAGTTTGTGCCAGCCTTCCCCCCTCCCCCCGCACTGTAAAGAAGGCAGGATGTGAACTGGACTGGCACGGGGGCGGGAAGGGAACGGAGGTGTGGGCCCCGGCGCCCCCCGCCCTCCCCTCTCGCTCACGCTGCAGCCGCTGCTCCTTGAGTCGAGCCGCCACGTCGCGCACGTCAGACCTCTTCAGGGTCTTGCGGGCCACCTCCAGCGCGGGCTCGGGCCCATAGAACTCCATCAGCCGTTCCACGAGGTCCAGGGCATCTGCGCGCTCCAGCCGCCCCCACGGGATGCTGGGGCTTCCCTCGGGCGCGTCCCGCAGCTTGTGGCGAAAGCGTTTCAGCTGCTCCTGGCTCAGGTCCTCCAGCGTGGCCAGGAGCAGCTCGCGGGCGACCGCGGTGCGGTGCCCCAGGCTGGGGGCAGGCGGACTGAGTGAGCCAGAGAGTGGTGGGAGACCTCAGAATGCTCACCCCCCCCCCTCTGGTCTGAGCGTCTTGGCAGTGAGTGGCAGGTTCTGCCTCCAACAGCACCACCTCCTGGGTGGTAAAGTGGGGGTCCCCTCATGGTGCTCACTGGCCTGCCACTGACCAGATGCCAGGGGTCTAGTTCCAGGAAAGAACATCACCTCCTGCTTCCTCTCCTCCATACACCTGGCCATGTCAGTTGGGACCCCCAAGATGGAAGTTCTACAAGGGCCCTACTCTTTTGTCCTTTCCTACCTTCACCTGAGAGCATCCAAGGGGCCCCTCTAAAGAGGGCTCAGGCCTGGCTGAATGTCCCATCTCAGGGCCTGGGTGGGGTCCAGGCAGGGGTCAGGCACAAGGGGTGTGAATCTTAGCTCAGAACAAGGGTTTCCCTGGGGCTGACCTCTGGTGGGGAGAGGACTCCCAAAGGCCTCCCTGGACATGGAGTCCCTTGAGTCTGGGATCAGGTGGGACGGGACACAGATCAAGAGATCCAGAGGTGTAAACTGGGGAGTCAGCAGGGTGAGGAGGAGCCTGAGGCTAGAGAGCTGAGACCTGCTGATTCCCAGGTAGCCCAGGTGACCTCTCAAAGAGTAGGCACTCACCTGGAGCTGGAGGTTCTGAGCTCCTCCATGGATGCCTGTCCTGCACTCTAGGACTCAAGGGCAGAGGCCGGGATCAGAGCACTGACCCCTCCCTGGGCAGGCCTGGAGGTTATGCAGCCTCTCCATGTTGCAGGCCTGGGGCCTCCAGCTCAGCCAGCTGTCCAACCATGTTCCCAAGCTGCAAACACAGACCCAGCGCACACACATGCACCACCCAGCCTTAAGAGCTCAGTGTGGTGACCTTTGATTGACTACAGATTCCTTTATTTGGTTAAAGTTCCCTAGAACCCAGGGGTGTGGCTGTGGGCAGGTATGTTAGGGATCACCACTGGGCAGGTGTGGTGAGGAGGGTTGGCTGTGGAAAAGTAATGCTGCCTGGAGGAGGTGGCTGGCTACAATGAAGCCTCACACTTTAAAGCTTGCAGACCAGTTAGTTCTGATGGCAGCAGAGGGGACGGGCTTCCCAGGTAATGGAAGAACTGAGAACAAAGGGGCAATTGAGGTTCCCACCTGGGGATGAGGTGACAACATGTGGGACAGGGATGGGCTCTGCATGTCCCAGACTCTCCCCTGTGCTAATGAAAGGAGGTTTGGCCATGAGGCGTGAGAGTGACTGCCCAGGGACAACAGGTGACCACACGAGTTATGGTTCCATGAGTGTGTGTGCACCCAAGGGTGTGAACAAGCATGCGGACATGAGCAGTGTGTGTGTGTGTGCACTTGGGATGATGCCAACCACCTGTATTACAAGTTACTCCTCTCAACCCTTCAACATAGCCATTCATGTTACCCTCTCACAAATGGGGAAACAGAGGCACAGAGAGGTTAAGTGACCCACCAAAGGTCACACCACTCTTGGGAAGTGAACTCGGGACATGAGCTCAATCAGACTGGTTTGGCAGCTGTGCTCCTAACTGTCGCACTCTCTGTCTCAAACAGCAGTGAGAGAGGTCAGTGCCGTGTGGGGTACTTTTCTCAGGATGTGTGCAGCAAGGAGAGATGAGTGTGCATTTACAAGATGACAGTGATTTGTGGGACTAAGTGCCCAGAGCCTGTGCCTTTGTGCTTGTTGAGCAAGGGTGTGGAGGGTTCAGTAGGGGGTGTATGCAGCATGTGTAAGGGCTGGAGTGCCCATCAAGCTATGCAGTGCCCTGCTGCTCCCTGCCTTTGAGCTCTGCACCGTCTCCACTGGCTTTCTACATTGTGCCTTGGCTTTGTAAAATCCCCTCTGCAGAAACTCAGCCTGTCCGGAGCTAAGTCAGGGGCCAGGGTGCGTGAGACACAGGGATGTCTGGCCTTTAGGGCCAGCAGTCAAGCGAGCTGCGACAATGCGCAACAAAGCTTCCCACCCATGCCTGCCCTGGTGCCTACCCTCTGTATCCTGGGTTCACATCAGCCACTCCCCTCGGTGCAGCTGAAGCCAGGATGGACCACTCAGGGCAGCCCATCATCTTAGTCCATAGACTGTTCATGTGCCCAGGAGCTGACCCCAAGGAGACCTACAAGCTCCCCTGGCTTTGCTGGGTGCTGCCCACACTGTGCCCTGGAAGGAAGTCCTCATTTCTGCTCTGGGCCTGGCCCAGCTGAGGCTGCTTCAACACAGGGACAGGTGTGCTGGGCTGCCTCTGCTCTCAGGGTTCTTGTGATAATAAGCAAGAGTTGTTCAAGGGCATGGAAGTCCTTGACTCTTCAAAGCACTGTTTTCCGAGGCCACCAAGCATATCCTGATTCCTAAATCTCACCCACTGACCAAAGAGCCCTGGTGGTGCAGTGGTTAAGTGCTTAGCTGCTAACTGAAAGGTTGGTAGTTTGAACCTACCAGGTGCTCCACAGGAAAAAGAGTGACAATTTGTTTCTCTAGAGAATCAACTTGAGGGCAGTGGTTTTGGTTTGGGTGTGGCAGGTCTGACCCTACCTCACCCTCATGAGCACCGTGACTTCTTCCTTGAGATCCTTTGTCCCCTGTTGTCCCAGGCCCTGAAGAGTGCAGGACAGAGGAGGTGCAGCAGACACAGCCCAGGGTGATGTGGAACTGGGGCAGGGGTGATGTGAGGCCTGAGAAGCAGCAGGATAGCAACTGCTCCTGCTGTAACCAGGACACATGGCAGCTGTGCTCCCCAGGACCGTGGCATCCCCAAACCCCAGCTCCCATGACCTTCCCAACTCCATAAGATGGACCTCACCTTGAGTGGACTCTGTGCTCCATAAACTCTCAGCATCTGCTGATAACAGCCCCAGAAAGGGAATTGATAACAGGAGCCACTGTTTCTTGGAATTCTCGGTCAGGAGGTGTAATGTGGGAGAACAAGAGGCATTGAGATTGAGGGGGAAAGTTGAGAGCAGAGTGGGAATAAAAGCAGGTACTGAACACATGGCTAGAGCAGGGAGAAGCAGAGTGGGGATGAGCAGGGGGTGAGCAGACAAGAAAATGAAAACAAGAGGACAGGGAATGGGAGCCATCTTGGCATGCAACACCAGTGAATTAAGGATTTATCACCCACAAGGTTTAACTTCTTAGAAGAGACATTTCCAAAGGTATGGCTTGAAACCTTTAACATATAACTTCTTCACAATAAAAACAAAACTAAAAGTCCTCATTGTGAGTTTTTCCCAAGGGTCCCTCCAACAGGGCTTTTGCTACACAGCAAAATGTCGTGAAAATCTTTGATCATTTCCTCCTCACTCTAAGGTTTACCCTCATGGCAGCAGCTAACATGATGTCCCTGGACCCTTCTTGACCTTCCACTTCCTCACCATCATCCACTTCTCCTTTGGGAGCTCCCTTCTCCCATCCTTCCTCAAGAGCCTAGTTCATGACTACTTTATATGCCCTGAGCTTCAGCCTTCTTTCCCTGCTCTCATCACTCCAGTTTTTTCATCTTGACCTCAGAGAAAGAGCTGTCTGAAGGTACCACAAACCTATTTTTTAGGAGTGGTTACGGAGAGAACAAAACAGACCTATAGGTGATCCACAACCCTGTGTCAACAAATTAGACCCTTAGATAAAATGGACAACTTACTAGAAAGACATAAAGTACCAAAAGTGACTCATGAAGAAAATAGAAAACCTGGATAGATGTATAACAAATGCAGTCATTGAATTAGTAATACAATTTTTAAAATATAAAAACAACCCACAAAGAAAAGCCCAGACTTAGATGGCATCACTGGTTAATTCTACCAAACATAAAAGGAGAATTGTTATAACATATGTAAAAGGAGGCCACACTTCCTAATTTATTTGACAAAGCTATATTACCCTAGTACTGAAACCAGAGAAAGACATTATACAAAAAAACCACACCAAAATACCCTTATGAATATAGACACAAAAAATCCTCAACAATATACTAGCAAACAGGATTCATCAATGTATAAAAAGGATTATACACCACGACCAATTGGAATTTCTCCCAGGGATGAAAGATTAGTTTAATGTTCAAAAATCATCATCAAAAAATCTAATCTAATATATTATATTGATGGAATAAAGGACAAAAAACACAAGATCATCTCAATAGATGCATCCTCCAAAAAAAGCATTTAACAAAATCCAACACTCTTTCATGATTAAAAACACCCAACATAGTAGGAATAGAAGGGAAGTTCCCCAATCTGATAAAAGACATTTATGAAAAACTCACAGCTAACATCAGAGTTAACAGTGAAAGACTGAATATTTTTCCCAAAGATCAGGAACAATGCAAAGATGTCCACTCTCACCACTTCTATTCAACGTTGTAATGGAAGTTCTAACCAGAGAAGTTTGGGAAGAGAGTGAAATAAAATGCACACAGGTTGGAGAGAAAGAAGTCAAATTATATCTGCATGAGACATGATCTTGGTAGCTCTGGTGGCATAGTGCCTAAGGCATTTGACTGCTAACTAGAAGCCTGGCGGTCAAACCCACCAGCCACTCCTCAGCAGAAAGGTTGGGCAATCTACTTCCATGGTGATACTGCCTCAGAAACCCAAGGAGGGGTCACTATGAGTCGGACCCAACTCGATGGCAGTGAGTTAGTTGAGTTGAGAGACATGACCTTAAAAACACCCTAAGGAATCCACTGAAAAACTATTAGAACTAATGAAAGAGATCAGCTGTAATGCAAGATACTAGATCAAAAGACTGATACACAAAACTCAATTGTATCTCTATATACTTGCAATGAATATTCTGAAAATAAAATTAAGAAAACAATTAATTAGCAATAGCATCAAAAATAAGAAAATATTTAGTAATACTTTTAACAAAAGGAGTGCAAGACTTGCACACTGAAAACTACAAAACATTGTTGAAATAAAGAAAATTCAAATAAAGGGAAAGACATCTTGTGTTCATGGATGGAAGACTTAACATTGTTATGGCAATACTATACAAGGTGATCTCCAGATTCAATGTGATCTCTATCAAAATTCCAATGTCCTTTGTTTTGCAGAAGTGGAAAAGCCAATCTCCAAATTCATATTGAACTGCAAGGGTCACAGAATAACCAAAACAGTCTCAAAAGAACAAGATTTGGAATAGATGACAGTTGAACAATTCACACTTCCCAACTTCAGAATTTACTACAAAGTCAAGTAATCAAGACAGTGTGGGACTAGCCAAGGTACAGACATAGGTCAAAGGAATAGAACTAAACATTCAGAAACAAACTAATACATCTACAGTCACCTGATTTATGGCAAGAGTTTGCCAAGACCTCTCAGTGGGGAAAAACAGCCTTTTCAACAAATGGTGATGGGACAACTGGATATACACGTGCAAAAGAATGAAGTTGGACCCCTACCTCACACATTATAAAGCAAATTAACTCAAAATAGATAATACACTTAAATGTAAGAGTTAAAACTGTAAAAGGCTTAGAAGAAACTATAAGAGTAACTTTAGACCTTGGGTTAGGCAATGGTTTCTTAGATAAACCACCAAAAACGCATGCGACAAAAGAAAAAAATAGATTAATTGGGTTTCATCAAAATTAAAAACTTTGTGCTGGAAATAATACCATCAAGAGAGAAAAGACAACCCACA